ATGAAAAGCAAAGTCTTTGTCCAACAGATGGTCAAGGTGTTCGGGATAAATCAGAGGATGATCCTCATTTATCTATGATGTGTAATACAATAAATATAAGTAAGAGTTGTCATGTATAATATTGAGTAATATGCAATATGTACAATTATGGAAATTAGGATTTGCAGCCTGTATTGTCCAAGACTTTTATAAATATAGAATGAGGCTTTAGTAAATCAGAAGTAAGACTAAAGCATTACAAGCTGAAGTAAATAGTAAAGCTGAAGTAAATAGAATTATATGATCATATAAGAGAAAATCATGACATGTCTAAAAATTTTTTACATTGGATTGAAGATTTATTTCATAACATAAGCAAAATAGGCTGATCAGATAAGACTTATTCATGATTAAAATTAAAATAATGGGATGACTTATAAAATCTAATAGTTTGGTTGTAAATATAGTTTGTATCAACAGCAATATAGTGAAATGTAAATTTTAGATGGCAATGAATTATAGTATGAGCACATTTGATGTAAAATAAAAAGTTTACTTTGGTTGACAAAACAGTTTGTACCAGGAGTAATATTTTCAAATGTAAATTTCAGATGCCAGTGGTGATGTAAAGTACAAACTGTTTTCATTATCTGTCTTAGTGGGGGGGGGGGGGGGGGGGGTGAATTAGGTTCTTTAAAACTTTTTCTGAATTGTATGAATATTTTTGCAAGAGTTTCTTTTCTTTCTTTTTCTGATAAGTGATGAAAGCAGTAAATGCGGAAAGTAAAGAACACAATGATGTATCCTGGTTCCCCTCACAGTCCGAGAGTACTCCAATCCCCTTTCAACATGAAAGAGATTTCCTTATTGTTGGTAATTTGTACAAGACTACCTAACAAGCCAAGAACAATCCTCTTGGACCAAGAACAATCCTCTTGGATTTTCACTAAGACCACAAAGAGAACAATCCTCTCTAAGTGTCTTTCTTGTTTCCAACAATCCTGAAAATAAGTATACAATAGTTTGTTTGATTTGTATAAGAGTTCGAATAACGAAAGAGCAATGTCAATCACTTGATTGATCTTTTCTTATCAAATATGAAATTTAAGATGGAATACTCTTCTAAGTGCTCAAGAACAATTTTCAGAATGCATATGAAAATGATGAACAAAAAATCTTGAGTACAAAGAGTATGATCAAAAGAATAGAAAGTTGTTAGTGATTGTTGTTGTATAATTTTTGATGTGTATTCTTTTTGATTGATTTTCAAAATTCTAAATGAAAATAATTTATAGTGTAGTAATACCTCTTCAATGAAACATAACAATGTTTAAACCATTTTTACTAAAACAATGTATATGAAAATATACAAGGATTGTCATGAAAAGGTGTTACCAAAGGTTGCTGAAAAAATAAAAATTTTCAAAATTTAAGGCACAACAACCGATTGCACCAAAGCAGCAATCGATTGCAGCACAACAACGTTTTAAAAAAATTGAAAATTATAACTAGGACAACCGATTGTTATTGAGGAGCAATCGGTTGCTCTAAAGCCAACGTTCAAAAAATTTGAAAATAAAACACATGACAATCGATTGCTGCTAGATGACAACTGATTGTATGTCAAACAAAAGCAAAAGTTTCTTGGATGCAACCGATTGTCGTTGTATGACAATCGATTGCTTGTGTACAAAAATTGAAAAAATATTATTTTTCAAAGATTTTAAGCAATTTAAACTATCCTTCTTTAATCAAACATAGTATATACTCAAAATATCATTTTAATAAAGTAAATGCATGATTAAAAATAGTTTTGAGCACTAAGAGCATAAGATCAAAAATATCATATACCTTAAGCCATAAGTCTTGAAATATTGATCTTGATCAATGAATCTTTGCTTGAGATAAACTTCTATATTGATCCATTCATTTTTGCATGCTAGCTTGTCTTCATCAAAACATTTGGAAAGTTTGATTTCACAGTGATGTAAAGTACAAACTGTTTTCATTATCTGTCTTAGTGCACGAGTCGACATGCCAACATAATGAATACACTCCTTGTCCCAAACTACAAAATTAACAGTCTTGGATTCGTGTTCGACCTCAATCTCAATTTTATACCTATACGGGGGGACATAAACAATAATAAGGTATACTACAAATATCTTTCATTGATATGCATAAAATTTAAAATATGGCAGTGTTGTTTAACGAAGCTTACTTAGTTATCGAGGTTGAACTGTTATCAGAACAATTGCATTGGAACGAGGAGCCAAGAGATTGGTTGGTTTTGTTACAAGTTTGACACAATTCATAATACCACCTGAAAGGGTTAGCCTTGAACCTCACTGTCTTTCCAACCGTATTGCAGAAGGTTTCCTACATAAATTAAAGTAGTGATTACAATACATGGATACCAGAAATATAGTAGCCGTCAGGTGAAGTAAAAGAAATGCCAAAAGGTAACAAACTTCAATAAGAGTTATGATCTCAGCTATACTTTTAACATCCTTGGTGAATGAGAAAGCCCTATCGTCGGTTGCTCCTTGTGAACATGAATTCAGAGAAATTGAATGTAGCAACCTGATCTTGATTACCTTCCAAAAATCTGTGATATACATAAGTTTCCATCAACACAAGTTTCCATCAAAATCATATAGTAAGGATATTAACATTATATTAGTAATAGACAAATGATATCATATTACTATACTTTGTTTTGAACTCCCCAACTTGTGGATGGTCAAGGTTCAGAAGTAGTCTTTAGCCATTCCACGCATTAGAAATGGTAAGCTTTCCGTTGGCTGCATAAAATAGGAAATCATTCTAATGTAATGACAACACGATATTTTGACAAAAATAGTTTTACAAAACATGAGCTCTGACGACACCATGCGTGAGTAAGGATGAGGAACACATGTCTATATTTAGCAGCATAATTCATAAATTGGTTTGCATATGCTTCCCATAAAGTAACATCCATTTCAGCCCCACTATAAATACAAGTATAAATCAATGTTACTTTGAAAACATAATTTGTATAAATCAGTTGAAGTAAAAAAGTAATGTAAAATTAAAGTAAGAGACCATTCATCAGATAATGTGAGGTCTATGCATGCCTTTTTTCCAGCACCTGATACTTAAGTTCTAACAACTTGCTGGGCTGCACCTATTACATCTAAAATCAATATCATTGAAGGTTAGAATGGTGATAATAAATGACTGAACTTTATTAAGAAGAGAGTAAGACATTAAATACCGTAAAGGTGATCAACAATGAAATCTCCGTTTTGGAAATCAGTAAAGGACTTAAAGTAGAAGTTGTATTATGGAATGACTGGTATGTCAACAACAATGATAGTTGTGGAACGATTAAAAAACAGTTTGTATTTGTTATCACAAACTTTCATAGGCATGTCATACAACATCGTTTCACTGTTATAGACCATGTAGGTTTGATTTTCTTGCAAGTTATTCTTCCAAACATCAAGGTCACGGGAGCAGGTTACAACATGGATCTGCTCAACCTGTAAATGAAAAAATATTGAAACAATGTATAAAACTTTCGCACATTCAGGTTTAACACATATGATATAAACAATGAAAAATACCTTTGCATCTTGAATAATAACTTCAAGATGCTGCTGGCCATTGCATTCCTTGACGTTCCAGACATCGACGACACAAATAGCTATTTTCCATACGTTTTGTTCAGATTTCAGGTTGCAAATCATAATAGGTTGTCACAACATGGTTGATCGATAAACTGAAAAATAAACCAGGTTTACAGGATATTGAAACCTTTATAAAAATCAAATCTTTATAAAACTGAAAAGTGAAAAAACCTTAATAAAAACCATTTCTTTATAAAACTGAAAACTGAAAAAAAAATATTAATCAAACATTTATAAAAAAAAAACTTTTATAAGAATCAAACCTTTATATAACTCTTAGCTTTATGACAAATAAACGAGAGTTCTAACATCCTAACAAATGTGTTACACACTCAGAGATATAATCAGACAAGAAATAGTTATATAGACATGTAAAAACATAAAATTGTAATCAGACAAATCAAAACATGAAAAGAAGATGAACATGTTAACACGATTTTGAAAGATAAAAACATAAAAAGGTCATTAGAAATCAAAACCCAGACAAGAAGATTATAAAAAGCAAACGTTATAAATGGTGAAACTATACAAAATCAGAACTTTGTAAATGTCACAACTTTAGAAATCTCACAACTTTATTAAATCAACTCAGAATCATGGCAATAAAACATGATGGGCAACAAGAATATTGATGTGTTACCTGTGGAAGGCGGTTGGAAGAGAGAAGAAGAAGCCGAAAATGCTCTGACTAGGATTATGTGGAGAGAGATTAAGGAGCAAACATGAAGTGAAGAATGAGAGGGAAGAGTGTTTTGTAAAGAAGTATTGGAATGGTGCATGGAGATGTCTACCAAGTAAAGTATAATTTCAATAAAGATAAAGAGAAACCCAATGGTTAATGCTGTATTAACAAAGAACAAATATAAATGTTGGAAAAAGGGTGCCACTTGAAGTAATGGTTAATTGTGATTCATGGAGGTTGAAATTGATTTAACAAATTACCATCAAATGTAATTCTTAATGCAATTAAATTATACAATAAGGGTAATTTAGAGTGTTTAGTGACTGTTATCTTCTTAGTTAGGTAGTTGATTTTTTATCTTTAATATTTTTATAACTATAATTTCTAAATTATTTATATAAAATAATAATAAAAATAAAACAAACTAGTCCATAATCCGAAACTGAATCCCAGTGGCCCATCATCATTCCCTAAACCCCAAAAGAGTTCAGTGGCTACTTCAAAACAATAAACTGCTGCCGCCGCTAACAAACGCACTTTACCACCACCACCACGCTTCCACCGCTCGCCACCGCCATAGCAGAAACTGCATTAGAGCTAGTTGCTGCCGAGAATCGCGTCCCCGGAGTTCTTCACCTAAGGGCAATTCCTTTTCTCATCCTACCATGGATAAAGAGTCTCTAACGGCTCCGGTGAAAACCGCTGTCGACAAGTTTCAACTCGTTCCCGAATTCCTCAAGGTAATTAACCAACAAACTAATAATCTCATTCGTTATTATTATTGATTATTGATTGTGTACTAACGACGATTTTCAGAGATATTAACACCAGTGATCAGTTTTCACTATAACCGATGATTATCATCCAATTCGTTTTTTTTAGGTTAGAGGATTGGTGAAACAACATTTGGATTCTTTTAACTATTTTGTTCAAACTGATATCAAGAAAATCGTTCGCGCTAATGATCGAATTCAAGCTACTAGATATCCGCATATTTATATAAGGTACTGGCATTTTATGCTATGACTGTATTGTGTTTGTTCAAATGTTTAGCTTATGAATGTTAGTTAATGAACAACATGACTCATTATTATGCAGGTTTTTGGATGTTAGAATTGGCAAACCGTCAATAACAATGGATGGTAGTGTTGAGGATATCAGCCCACAAACATGCAGACTATCCGACCGAACGTAGGAATCATTTCCCTTAGATTCATGATCTAATGTTTTTAATTAGATACTGACTAGCTACTGATAGAATTCTAATAATGCTCAAAAGTATTTTCTTAAGTTGCCCGTAAAGTTTTATCATGTTTCGATTTCTTCTAGTTTACTTATACTACTATTTGGAAGTAATAGTCAGATTAAATGTTATTCGTTTATGTTGTGCTTGACCGGATGTGAATTGTGCTTCATTTTGTCTGATAACAAGGTACGCGGCTCCAATAGTGGTTGACATTGAACATACTCAAGGAAGTCCTGATAACCTAAAAAAAGAGATAAAGGTAATTGGCCCCTATTTTTAGTAGACTTAAATATGCAAATAGTCCCCTGCAAATATCAAGAGTTTTGGTTTTAGTCCCATTAAATTTCGTTTTTGTTTTCAGTCCTTGCAAATATACCGTTTGTTTTTTCTTTTGTTTCTTGTTGTTTTGTTTTAGTCCCCACAGATATTATTGATGTTGAAATTTGTTCCTATGATCTATCAAATTATTGATTTTAGTCATTCAAAAGAAGGAATGAAATGAATACTACAAGGACAAATTTCAATATGATCAGATTTTGCAAGGCTCAAAACAATGTATGGAGGACTAAAAACAAAATATTGTATTTTGCAACGACTTAAACAAGAAATATTTTTATAGGGGCTAAAACCCGAAAATGGTATATTTGTAAGGACTAAATATATTTAAATCTTATATCTTATAACTTATATCTTCTGAATTTGACTAAGATATATTTTATTAACTGCAACAATACTTTTTCTTTCTGCAGAGAAATATTATCATTGGAAAAATGCCCATTATGTTGCGGAGTTGTTGTTGTGTTTTGTACAATAGAGATGAAGCTGAGCTTGCAAGACTTGGTTTGTTTTATTCATTTAATTGTTTTATTTATGTTTTGCATTTCTAATCATTTTAAATAAAATCTTACCGTTAGTTTTTTCTTTGATTAGGCGAGTGTCCCCTTGATCCAGGAGGATACTTTGTAATCAAAGGGACTGAGAAGGTGATTTTCTGATTCTAAATACTTCTTGATGTTAGGGACTGACTTGGCGTTTTTTAATAAAATTTATGTGTTGAACGGCTAAAGAAATATTGTCAGCAATAATTGATGAGCATCATTACAAGAATAAACTGATAAGCATTTTTCATTGACTTGTCGAACTTGCGCGAGATCAGATGTTTTACTTAAGGGTCCCTGATAGTTGCTTTTCTTTTTATTTTCATCTCATATAAATATGCCCCCCTTTATCTTTCTTCTACATCGTTTTCATTTATTTTGTTTACAAAAGTATTCCATGATTGTGTTTCAGGTGATTTTAATACAAGAACAACTTTCGAAGAATAGAATAATTATAGACACCGACAAGAAGAAAAAGTAAGTAATTCTCTCTGGTATGACGAAGGCTTATTTTCTGGTATCTTCCATTTTGCTTAGGCTTATTATATAGTGCTTTCATAATAATTGTAAGGTTCATTTTCTGGTATCTTCCATTTTGCGTGCTCTGAAGCAAGGGTTATGGGAGAACATCTAACTGCCAGAGAGAAAATAATGAGATATACTTTCATGAATAAATTGTTTTACATCTTATGTCCAATATAACAATACTGAAAAACAATAAAGATAATCCTCCACAATAAAAAACAAAATGAAACAAAGGTGTACTAGGAAAAAACATTTGTTGGGGTTTTCTATTTTTGTTTTTTGTTAGCCATTCATTTATGAAGTGAGAAGCTTGAAATTCCTCTTTTGAAGCTATAAGCTCTATATATCACTCTGCAGTTCTTTCCTTTTCAGTTCGTATCCAGTAAGACAATTTGTTTTCCTCATGTCATTTGGTGTCCATCAAATGTTTTCTCTTCTCCTTTCTTCATAATCTTTTCTTGGCTGCTTTTTTCTTTTGTTTTTTAATTTCTTTCTTCTCTTTCCTAGTTTTGGTTTCTTGGGTGATTGTTTATCTCTCCATTTTGCTCGGTGCTCCTCTTCTATATCTCTCTCCTTGTGAACTTTCTACTTTTATCCTCAAAAGATAAGCGATGCAGAATAGATTAGGAATTTAGAAAACTCTACTATTATAATTTTAAATTGTGATGATAATTTTACATATATGAACTGCGGTTTTAATGGGATACATTCATGTTTTTGGTTATTTTGTTGGTGGTATGTTATTCTTCCTCAAGTAGTATTTCTGCATTTTTTCCCCTCTATTAAGTTTTATTTTCTCTATCTAAAAAGTTGTTGACCAAATTACTGTTAGCTTTCTATGTGTTGTGCATTTGTCCCGCCATATTAGATTACCGATTGTCCTAATTCATGTTGTTTTAAAGTATATTTTGGTTCCTATTTTGGCTTTCAGCATTACTGCATCTGTTACAAGTAGCACGGAGAAAATAAAAACAAAAACTACCATTTTGATGGAAAAAGAGAAGATGTGGTTAGAATTGAATCAATTTCCAAAAAAGGTTTTCACTTTGCTGTTTTCATTGTCTTATTGATCTTTAGCATTTTGATTGCATTATAATTTGGGTTTGGTTATTTTTACTTGTTATATCCAATAGGTTCCTCTTATGGTTGTAATGAAAGCTATGGGGATGGAGAGTGATCAAGAAGTTGTACAATTGATTGGAAGAGATCCTCGTTACAGTTTGCTACTTTTGCCCTCCATTGAGGTAATTGACATGTATGTTTGGTTATGGATGCGTTTGGATAAACAACTTTTAAGGTCTCTTTCACCCAGCAACTTTGGGGAGCTTAAACTTAGTGCTTATTATTAAGCTATGGTAATTATTATAATAAGCTAAAACAACTTATGGACAATAAGTTTTTTGACAAGGTGGACATGTCACTATTTATTTTTCTAACTATATCCGAACATCAATACAAATACTTATGTTATGAGATAACTTAAATTAAATTATAGATAAGCTCGTCCAATTGCCTCCTTTATCAAGTTTAAAATTTTTTCTGCACACACTGAATTATAAAGGACGGTAGAAGCTAGTGGCTCGTATAATAACACATACTTATCTGCTCTTTCTTAGCATAACAAAGCATATTGTATTATTATTTATGCTATGTGTGATCTGTTAAAAATGTTTGCCCTCTAATCAGGAATGTACAAAAAATGGTGTATTTACACAAGCCCAAGCATTGGAGTACCTTGATTCAAAAGTGAGTTCTTCTTTCTTATTCCCATTTACAAAGGATTGGTTAGATTTGACCTCCTTTTAGGAATTATTGGGAATCAAAACTGAACGTTGCAGCTTCTATTCTATTAAACAGTTATTTTAGGGCAGTTATGTTTTATCTTTCTGTCAATTATGTTTTATCTTTCAGTCAGTTATTCTAGGACATTATAGAACAATTTCAACTAACTTATTGTTAGTTGAACTGATTCCTTTAACAACGCCTCATTCATTCAACCTTCAACAAGAACAAACTGACCAAGGAAATTCTGTTCTCAATCAAACAGCGGTTGAGAAAAATGAGGAAAAGGTAGAAAGGGATGTAGAAATTTCCATTGTGAACGTCATCATTGTGGAAAAGCAACAAGAAACCTAAACGGATTTCTTGTCAAACACTTTGATGGACATGGCGTTAGTATTTTGTTTGAATAGAGGGCGAGACTATCTAGAACAACTACTAGAGAGAAATGGATTTCACCCGAGTTGGACGGCCTATTGTCGCCGAAGGGGGGGAGTATTGTTAGACCTCCTATCAACTAGGAAGCGGAACTGAATCTGGCTATTTCTATTATGTCAAATAATTATTTTGGGGCAGTTATGTTTTATTTTTCTGTAAGTTATTTAATTCATTATATGCATAAGTTATGTAGGCTGATATGTTCAATAGTTAGGCAAAGGGAGAGGTTTAGTGGGTTATCTAGAAGTTATTAAGTGGTTAATTGGAGGTGAGAACCTCGTCTTTGCTTAACTTTTTATTTGTTAACAATTTTTTTTCTGTTGAAGTGTGTAATTGTATGACCCATCTCTGATTCAGAACTTTTCTCCATATATTAATCAATAATATTCCGTTGTTATTTGCAAATACTTCCTATTGGTACTAGTTTGTATCCAATTTCACCATGGTTATTCCTTTCACATGGTTTATCCAATTGCAATATTTATTTGTCTATCAATCGTGATCTCTCCCATGTACCCTTCCTAATGCCTTATAACTTACTTAATTGTCTAACTAGATAATTGACTAGATGTTGTCCTTATTTTTTCCTATGATCCATCCTGATAAATACCAACTTGAAAGAATTTTTCTGAATGTTTGCTTCATCAAAATTGAAAATTAGTGATTTACATTACATAGATGTATGGTAGTTAAAATTGAGATCAAGATTATAGCATTGTGCGATCTCTATGTGGTAGAGTGATATTGTGTCGGTAAAACTTCCAATTTGGAGAAAAGAAGACTTTTCATGTAACTGTTCTAAAGTGTTTTTCATTCTTATTTTTAGTTTTTTAGTTTTGTAGTTTAGTACATTAATAGGTGGACTTTCCTTTGTTCTAAATTCACATATTCTTAGATCTTCCACTTTGTTCACAATCTTATACTTTGTGTTTTCTTTCTTATGTCTTATGTCTAGTTGATTTTGATGCTTTTATATTGGGACTATAGAATAAAGAGAAATTGAAAACTTGTTAGAGTAGTTAGTTAGTTGAGGTTGTTATAGATAGTATGTGTATAAATAAGAGAACACAAAGTGAATAGAGTATCTTTGGAATATTGTATAGTGAATAGAGTATTCTCTCCTTTGAAAGGGAAACTCTTGAGAATAGGTTCTCTCCTTTGAAGTGAATTTATTTGCAGAAGTTGAGTCCCCTAGATCAGGAGTTCTGATGCCATGTGAAAATTAGGAATAAGAAATTTTCTGAATGTGCTTGAGTGAGTAAAATAGGCAACCATGATATTTATACACACTACATAATTAATTACATATTATGTTTACAAGGAGAAATAAATACAAGTTCAACTCCCTAAATGCATGAATCTAAACAAACATGAACAGTGAACCAAAAATCAAGTGCTTTTTAATGGGAAACATCAATGGATTTAACTATTTCCAACAGGCAGTTTCCGGTTTTAGTTATATACTTCTGTTTCTAATTTTACATACATATACTTCATATTCAGTTTTGTTTAATTTATTGCTAATGGCTTGTGTGCACATCAGGCAAAACGTCCCATGTTTCAAAACACGCAAGCTGAAAAGGTTTTAATCTCTCTCTATCTCTCTCATGTCATTAGATTGTTTATTAGTGCATTCTCTTTCTATGTATAAAATAATGTATAAAATTTTCTTTTTTCTTCAACAATTTTCTGACTTGTTATTTGAACCTCTTATGTAGGAAGGAAGAGCATTTTCTATCCTAAGAGATGTCTTTCTTGCAAATGTACCGGTAAGTTTTCTTTGAATCATAAGGACATTATGAGTTTTAAGGGTCTTTCTTTTTTCTGAAAGTTCCATCATCTTACAACTTGATTTCATTCTATTGTAATACATGTAATTTGCCTTACCTGGGTTAGGTTTCATCTGATTAGCCGCTTCTTCTGTTGTCATTAGGTGCACGAAGATAATTTTCGGCCGAAATGTATATATGTGGCTGTTATGATAAGACGCATAATGGATGCAATTCTAAATGAGGATGCGATGGATGACAAGGTAGTATCTTCTTTTTAACATGAGATCTTAAGTAACCGGAACTCAATTTTACTTGATAGTCATGAGATATGCACTGACTTTATGTTCTTCACGGCCTTCATAAGAATTACGAGTCATTTTGGAGCCGTATTCCTCTTTCGCCTAAGATTCCATCCATAGAGAATGTGATTAGCTGTTACACATGCCTGCGTAGTTTTGAATGAGGTTGATAGTATCATTTTACTTCAGAGTTTTAATTATAAGTAAAAAATATAAAACAGAATTACAACAGTTTGGCAGTTCCATAGTTCTGTAGGTGTTTCAACAATATGATTTGCTATTATCTTTTGATTTCCACCTTGAAACTGAAATGCTTATCGTGTTTAAAGCAGTACTAGAAATTAAAGAATACACTGAAACTGATTTTCTGTTTTGCAATAACATAAATTAACAACTGAGACAACCTCTCTTTTACTTTCTATCCTAATTAGTGCTTTCATTGTGAAAGCTCATCTGCACAATTTGTATAGTTCTAAGTTATAAGCACATAACATGTACTCTGCATGTGTAGAATTGCGTGTATGTGGCATTGGGCAATAGTTAATATCAGCTTACTGTTTCTTTCAACTCATAGGATTATGTGGGGAACAAGCGATTGGAGTTATCTGGCCAGTTAATCTCTCTTCTTTTTGAGGTACTATCTTGTTGAAATTATATACAACTAACTTCTGCAAGTATATGTTCCACATTTTTCGTTGCATGAGTTATTCTTCTTTCTCTTTCAGGATCTTTTTAAGTCTATGACAACTGATGTTAAGATGGTGGCTGACAAATTGTTGGATAAGTCAGACAAGGCTAAAAATTTTGACTTCTCTCGTGTAAGTTCTTTTAATACTTTTAATTAAACATGTGAATGAAATTAAAGTGTTTTTTTAATCAAATCCAATCTCTCTGAAGCTATCCAAAAGTCTAGGGCTGATAACTCTTTTACAGTTCCTTTTGCTCAATTCTCTTTCCATGTCATTCCTCATTTATTTAGACTTGTCTGTCCAAGATGATCCTTCATTTATTTATTTATTCTTATTATGCATGGGATTTCCTCCTGTGTCTTGTATAAGTTGCTCGTTATAAAGAACCCATAAGGTACTGTAAATTCTATTTCGTATCATTGATTGTATTGTCATCCGATTGCAACATGCATCAACTACACATATACTTTTGTTGGATACCAGTATTGCGTGCCTCAGCATAGATGAAGTTGACAAAAACATATGGACACTGATTTACTTGCAAATCTCTGATCACGGTAGAGTCATGTTTCCTTGGGAAGCTCCAAAATTTATCATATTCATCATCAATATAAAATCTTTTAAATGCGGCTTGTTTGTACACATGAAAGGCATACTTCACTGGTTTCATCACCTGATCTTAGTATCTCTCGGTGTGTTCATAGATACTTGTTAGTCGCGATAATATCTCCCCTGGTTTGGAAAGGACTCTCTCAACTGGTAATTTTGAGGTTAAAAGGTTCAGGATGCAGAAAAGTGGAGTGACACAGGTAGTTTATTGTTTCCCTTTCTAATTTTTCCTTTCTATCTGCAAATATTTCTTCTAATGGATTATTTTTCCAGGTGCTACAAAGGTTATCATTTATAAGTGCTTTGGGTCAAATGACAAGAGTCCAGCCACAGTTTGAGAAGTCCAGGAAAGTAAGTGGCCCTAGAGCTTTGCAGCCTAGCCAGGTAAGCTGCTATCCAATCGGGAACCTTCTTGATATATCATTCTGATATTGCATTGTTTTCTGGATAGAACATGATGGTTTTGTTTGATCTCTGTAGCTTACCTAAAGGTTTTATTGTTGTTGTGCTCTTATGTTGCATTGGCCTTTTATTCTAGATTTTAAAAAATTGTTTTCACTTTTGAACTTATTGTACCTTATTTTCTAAGTTCTTCTTTGATACAGTGGGGCATGCTTTGTCCATGTGATACTCCTGAAGGTGAAGCCTGTGGACTAGTAAAGAACCTGGCTTTGATGACTCATGTCACTACTGATGAAGAGGAAGCCCCCCTGATTTCTCTGGTATGTTTTATGTGTTTGATGTCACTGGATGATGGAATTTTTTTCATTTTTTGTTTATTAGTATTACTAACTGTGATTAGCTAATGACTTGCTTCTTTAATCATGTATATCAATTGAACACCTAAAGGACAAATATGAGAATTTTAGCATTGTTGTGTAATCTACAAGGAAAAGGCATATGTTGATAAATGGAGGCAATTATCACCTTACAACCTGGTTCTGTAATGTTGAGTTAAGCCCAACCACAATTCTTAAGATATCCAACAACAATAACGACCAAACTTTATTCCACCGAGTAGGGTCAGCTATATGTATCAAACTACACCATAATATTCTGTCAAAGATTATGTTTCTAATCCAACTCGTTAGTCTCAAGATCTTTTCTAATAGTTTCTCTTATGGTTTTTCTAGGTCTCTCCCTACCTCTAGTTGTTTGGATCAGAGTTGTGAATCGCGGCCGCTATCGCGGCGCGCCCGGCTGGGGCGGCACCTACCCGCGTGAGCAACTGGGTGCGGTTGCGGTGAATGAATCGCGGTCGCTATTCACGCTAAACCGGGTCACGGGTTTTTCCCGGGCTTAGCAAATTCCGGTTTTTTATTTTTTCTTGAAACTTTTTTTCTTCGTGGATTTACGATTTTGACAAAATAAGAAGAAAGAGAAGATGTAGAGGAAAGTAGAATAGAAAGAGAAGATGAGGAGGTAGAGGATAAGTGCTGATTCATTTTTTATTGATAAAAAAAATTGAAATGTGTAATTAATTTGTTCAATCTACAGCTGTAAAATAGTTGAATAGTCACTTAATAAAATATGTAACATACAGCTGTAATTAATTGTTCACTTGCCTCCTCACATATATACCTACTACAACTGTTAAACATTTAATAAAAATAATAACATTAATAATAAAAATGTAATAATATAATTTGAAACAAATAATTAAATCTTTAATCTATTAGTTTTATTTTATTAATTTGATTTTTATAAAATTTTTATGGGGATTATGTTATTTGTATAGATTATTTATATATTTAATCTAAAAAATAGTCAATTCTAAAAAGTCGACAAAAGATATCCCACCATCCGCTATCCTGCTATTCCCATTTTTGGATTCGGCCGCTCCGCTCCGCTATCCGGGATTAATAACTTTGGGTTGGATATCCTTCATTTTATCTACCTTTTTTACTACAAAATCGTGCCTTCTCTCTACATGCCTAAACTTCCTAAGCTTATTTATCACCATCTTTTCTACTATGGGTGCAACCCCAACACTAATAATATTGTTATTTCTAGTCTTATCTCGGTTAGTCTTACCACAAATCCAATGCAACATCCTCATCTCTACTACACTTATTTTATTTTTGATCGGTTTTTTACCGCTTCACGTATTTAATCCATATCATAGAGATTCAACAAAGTTTTACGATGGTTGTCGACTGCCTAACTAACCTTCTTGTTTTAACTGGGTTTGAGACTGACTATGCATAGCAAAGTTAACATAGAGAGGATTACAATTCTTGATATACATTCCTATATAATTTATATTTAATATTTTATTATGTATTGGGTTTTAGATTCAATAATTAGTAACAGACCCAAAATCCTAGATTCAATAATTACTAATGTATATGTTAGGCGCACGCTAAGGCCCAGTAAATTAGGCCTAAATTATATAACTAGGTGTAATGTATTTAAGTAGAATAAAGAAGGAGAAAGTCTCTCATTTAGTTTGTTTTTGGCTGGTTTGGACTGGGAAAGACCAGACTCTCTAACCCTAGAGGTTGTATGTAATTATACAGTTAATTGCATATTCTTTAACTGCTGTTGCAGGGTTTAACTGCTGTTGCAGGGTTTAACTGCTGTTGCAGGGTTTAACTGCTACTGTAGGTAGTTATTCTTAATATAATTGCAATAAAGTATTGTATTCGAGTGTATTGTTCTCCCCTTAGCTATCATTACTATTTAGACTCTATCATATCCCAACTGAGCCAATGACTAGTCCGAGTTGTAATGCTTGTATGGTTGAGTCATGGAGCTTTGGCTTCACTAAAAGGAACTTCAACTGAGCCAATTTATATGGTTGAGTCATGGAGCTTTGGCTTCACTAGAAGGAACTTCTTTGGAGATGTAGAGAATACAATTAGGAGATAAATATTTAAAGGTTTTGTGAGTGTAGTGTCCTTTTGATTTGTAAAAGAATTAGTACATGGCAGAGTAATACATGGAAAACCTAAGTGACTCCCTCTCCGTAGATCTTTGACGTAAAAGTGCCATACTAGATGTTTGTGTCATGCAATTCCATCTTGATCATCACTTGTAATGACTATATCATCGACATACACAACCAAATAAATGTATTTGTGAGAGGTGTATCTATAAAACAATGAGTGGTCAACTTCACTCCGACTCATGGCATACTGTTGAACCACGCAACTGAATCTTCCAAACCATGCTCAAGGGAATTGTTTGAGATCATACAAGACTTTCCGAAGGTGGCAAGCATACCCATGATACTCCCCCTGAGCAACAAAACCAGGCGGTTGCTCTAAATAAACTTCTTCTTTCAAGTTCCCATGAGGAAATGCATTCTTTATGTCTTAAGTGATACAATGTCGCACGATAGCCATAGAGAGAAAAAGATAGACATAAGCCATTTTAGCCACATGTGAGAAGGTATCAGTGTAATCAAACACCAGAGTATTACCTTTAGCAACCAGACGTGTTTTCAAACAATCAATTCTTCTGTCTGAACCAACTTCAATTGTGTAAACCCAACGGCATTCAACAATAAATTTTCCTAGAGGCGATGGTACACTATGCATTTTGGTTAGTTTACAAGGCTGTTATCTCAATAATCATAGTTTGTCTTTAACCTGGATAAGAAAAACTTACTAGGTAGACTTAGGAATAATATAGTAGAAACAAAGGCATAATGGGAAAGTGAATACTTAGGAATAATATTGAAAGAAATAGTTGAAACAAAGACATAATGTGAAAACGATAACCGAGGAAATGGGATAAGGATTGCGAGTAGAACATATACCTCTACGTAGTGCCATAACAGAAAATTCAAAAAGGTGAGAACTGTGAAGATCCACGTACAGCTAGAAAACCCAACCGCATTCAACAATAAATTTTCCTAGAGGTGATGGTACACTATGCATTTTGGTTAGTTTACAAGGCTGTTATCTCAATAATCATAGTTTGTCTTTAACCTGGATAAGAAAAACTTACTACGTAGACTTAGGAATAATATAAGTAGAAACAAAGGCATAATGTGAAAGTGAATACTTAGGAATAATATTGAAAGAAATAGTTGAAACAAAGGCATAATGTGAAAATGATAACCGAGGAAATGGGATAAGGATTGCGAGTAGAACATATACCTCTACGTAGTGCCATAACAGAAAATTCAAAAAAGGTGAGAACTGTGAAGATCCACGTACAGCTAAAAAACTCACAGTAAGAGTAGCAAAATATCTATGTTCTCCAACTGAAGCGACTCAACTAGGTTCCCATACATCGGAATGAACGATATCAACAAGTGAACAGGAACCTCAGCCTACGCGACATGAGGAAGATGAGACATGTTTTCCAAGCTGACATGATTCTCAATCTAGAGATTGCAATTGAGACAAAGTGAGGAACTGTAACTTTGGATTTTTTGAGACTTGGATGACCTAATCGGCTATGAAAAGATTTGGAGATTTTGTAAAAAAAAGTGGAAGCAATTGTGGATGAAGACTGAAGGTAGTAAAGTCTGTGTGATTCATAGCCCGTACCAATCATCTGCTTCAAACTCTGGTCCGAAATCATTAAGGAATCAGGAGTGGAAGTTATAAAGCAATTTAAACTTTGGGTCAGACGACAAACATAAATTAAATTAAATGGACAATTAGAAACAAAAAGAACATAGTTTAATAAATAAAGATGGGAGAAGGGTGGCTGGACCAATGCCACTGGATCTAGCTTTTGATCCGTCTGCAACGGTAATATAGGGTTTTAAGTTGGGATATTTTCGATAAAAGAGATGGATTACTAGTAACATCACTAGAAGTTCAAGAGTCCACAACCCAAGGGGCAATAGACAAAGCTGAGAGAGACAAACTTTAGAATAATCAGCATGACAATTTTTGTTGATGATGAAGCTTGCGAAGCCTTAAATTGTAAGTATGCCTTGTACTCACCACATTTTGATTAGTGGCATGACCAACTGGCTGCGGTGGTGGTAGAGGAGGATATCCCAAGCCATATTTTGAACCTGAACGCATTGATACCATATGCGATATAGGAAATTGATAGAGTTTTCATTCATTCATATATTTGATTCTCAAAATTGAACTTGATAACTTGGATCATAAGCATTTATACAGAACTTAACCTTCAATTGATTTGGTACTAACCTGTACTCATTCTAACTGACAATATGTAAATTGTAACTGTCAGAAACTAACTAGTGCAGTGTAGCTCTTTGTCAATGCTTAGGACGGCAGAACCTTTGATAACTGACGTGGTTAGGCCTAACTCACCCCTACAAAACCGGCTTGTAGAGTGAGGATTGCCCCCACTTATAAAGACATGTTTATGCCATGTTATCCGATGTGAGACTCTTAACACACTCTCTCATACCTAGGATTGGACATCTAGGCCGTGGAAATAAATTGTGGGTGGCCCGATAGCGGAAACCTGATAGCAAGTGGCTCATCGGATCATAAACGAGACTCTTGATATCATGTTAAAAAATGTGGTTGGGCCTAACTCAATCCTACAAAACGTGCTTGTAGGGTGAGAATTGCCCCCACTTATAAAGACATGTTTAGGCCATATGTTACCCGATGTGAGACTCTTACAATAACAATCATGTATACTCACAGCGGAAACCATACTGCGAAGGCAATAAGAAGGAAATTAGTGTATAGTTCTAGAAACTAGGTACATGCAAGTGAAGACTTACCGTTTTCAAAATGCTATGCTGGATGACATGACAATAGTAGGTGAGACACAAGAATTACAACCTATATCCCCCCACCCGAAGCCATTCTTTTGAGTATTGGTGGAGAAGAAACGTAAAGAGGGCAAAAGGGGTATTTTGCCACTTGGGTCTTATTCTAAATATAATAGGCCAGGCCCAGTTTAGTGTTATTAGCTAGGGAATTTCTCTTTGCACCCTTATAGAGTGGGGCACACCTCTGAATACCCTTGGGTTTATTCGGAGATGTACCAAATCTCATTTTTTTCACAAAAATTTAATTCGGAGATACATCTCAAAATTTTTCTAAGGTTAATTCGGTGATGTATCTTCGAAAATACACCTGAACCAGAAAAAAACTCATGCAGTGTTGAGGAGATGCATTGAGCACTGTATCGGTTCTTTCTCTTCTCAAAAAAACAAACAGTTCTAATTACCATGTTTGTTCCAATTACCATCATTTTCTATTGTAACTTTTTTATTCCACATAAAATCTCATTATTTGTTATTATTACTATTCCTGTTTTCTTGTCTCGTTTCTGGGCTAATTCAATTCTTGAAATAGAAATTTTCTATTTATCCTATAAATATAAATATTATTTATTATTCACTATAATTATTATTCTCTCCTTATAAACGCTGCCTCTAAACATTTTCTAAACACTCTCTAAACATTCTCTATAATAATTATTATTCTCTCTTTATTTGGAAATTATTTCTTTTACATATGATTATTTTTGGGTATTTCTTTTTCTGGTTCAGATGTATTTTCGGAGATACATCTCCGAATTAACCTCAAAAATTCAGAGATGTATCTTCGAACTAAATTTTTGCAAAAAATGAGATTTGTTGCATTCGGTGATGTACTCCGAAAATAGGGGAACATTTTTTACTTTTCACCATAGGTCTGAGAGAAGGTGACAGAGTGTAAAGAGAAATTTCCTATTATCTACTGGGTTTGTAAAAAAGGGGTTTTAGATGCCTTATCCAAGGCCAAACTCGTTGGGCCTAACCCACAGGGACATCTAGCGAAATTTGGAATTCTGGTGGCTTAGCTCAAGTTTTCACAATCCTTTTATTTGGTAGCTAGTTTTTTTTCTTCCTGGTTTGCCGCCGATTCGTCACCGAACTTTCCCCATAGGTGTTTGGAAAATATTTCTCCCCATTGGCATCAACATCGATTTGGCAAGGAAAGTGCAGATCGATGGGACTTGATAGAAGTTTTTACCCTTTATATTTGAAGCTGGCTTATCAAGCTCCCTTCAGTTGGATTCTGGGATCATTTGTCCTACCTTTCTCCCACTCTTTTTTTTTTTCATTTCCTCCTATACACTTGTAAGTTGGGCCAATCAATGGTAGCCAAAGCATGTTCTACAGGGACATATCTCTTGGTTGATTTATTTCCATCAAACTTATGTTTCTTATAATATACCACTCAAAGTCTAGGGGTTAAAGCAGTTTTGGATTTGACCGGCACTTGTCATGCTTTTAAAGTAAGGATTTTTTATTCTTTGGCCAGTATAGAGCATTTATGCAGCTACGTTCTTTGTGCTTGCTAGGGCTAGTCGATAGTCATTGACTATCTTCTAGTAAGCTGGATTCTTGTTATTTATGTATTTGTCTAAATAGGATTGTGTTTCACTCTTTGATGCTCTTCCCTTGGTTATTATATATGTGTGTGTGTGTGTTTGTGTATGTTTTTTTTTTCCTTTCTTTATTTAATTAGTTATTGTGCTTCAATTTAACTTGTATTCTTCAAAAAAGATGTAAAATAGAACATGTTTCCACATGCATTGTTGTTTACTTTAGGTGTTTTACATTTTTTGTGTTATATTATTTTGATAACAGTGCTATAGTTTGGGTGTTGAAAACATGGAACATCTCTCTGGAGAAGAGCTTCATACACCCGATTCCTTTCTTGTCGTTTTTAATGGTTTGATCCTTGGCAAGCACAGGAGACCACGGGTATTGATATGCTTTTTATCATATACTATTTCTACTTATTCAAATATGCTTTTTATTCATAATTATTTCATTTATCGTAAACCTTAATATTTTATTGTTCTAGCGTTTTGCTACTGCAATGAGAAAGTTGCGGAGAGCTTGTCTAATTGGCGAGTTTGTGAGTATCTACGTCAATGAAAAGCAGGTGAGTAGTTCTGTTGCAGTTGATTTTTTAACATTTTATTCTCACTATTTTGTACTTATACCATTTTTAAAATTTATTTCTAGTTCAGTCATTTTTTTCGGGTTAGTGATTTCTCTTATTCTCTTAATTCGTGGATGTTTCAGTTTTTATTTTCATATTTAAAAATATGCCAAGAATATACTATTTCACTCTAGTTTCATCGCGGAGAGTGAAACTTTCAATATTACTGAATGAGTTGAAGTGTACAAGCTATAAGATAAATAATAGACCAATTCTATTTAGAAGGAAATGTTAAATACACTAATGCTGATTATTGCAAGTATTATTCTCCTAATAATTACATATGCAATTTGACCCTGTATTTACAACAATTGCTGTCTAGTTTCACTAGCTATGGGTTAGTGCAAAATCTATACTTATTGTGCTTCCTTCAACTATTGTAATGTTAGAAGGGAGTGAGTCGAAACTGTTTTTAACGGAGAAAAACATGTTTTCAGTGTTGTGTTTACTTAGCTTCAGATGGTGGTAGAGTTTGCCGTCCTCTTGTCATTGCTGACAAAGGAATATCAAGAGTCAAAGCTTATCATATGAAAGAGTTAAAGGTAATCTTATCATGTGCTTTTATCTTTAAATAGAGAATGAAAGCTGTTTATGAGAATATTAACTCAAATGTGCTTTCAGGATGGAGTGTGCACATTTCGTGACTTTTTACGTAGAGGCTTGATTGAGTATCTTGATGTCAATGAGGAAAACAATGCTATGGTGTGTTTTTCTAAAATTAAATCTAGCTTATTTTGTCTTTGAAATCTTATTCTTGACAACCAGTGCCTCTTTATTATTTATTTATTTATTTAATTTTTTTTATAGATTGCTTTATATGAAGAAGGTGCAACATTAGAGACTACCCATATTGAGATTGAGCCTTTCACTATCTTAGGAGTTTGCGCAGGGCTAATTCCATACCCTCATCATAATCAATCTCCCAGAAACACTTATCAGGTTGTTCCTCCTTGCCCCCCTTTGGTTTTAAGTTAGTAACTAAGATATTGCACTTGCAAGAATAGACAATGTTCATTTCCGTTCTTTAAATAGCTTTTGTTTTGTTCACTGTAGTGTGCAATGGGAAAGCAAGCTATGGGAAATATAGCATATAACCAGGCAAGTAAATAGTTTGTTGTTTATGCAGCTTAAACACTAATATTGAATGATCTTGAAACTTGATGTAAATATTATCCATAAATTTCTAGACAAATTTATTAAATTTTGGTTAATTTTTTTAATGAGTCAATTTCTATAAGCTTTATTCTTTGGTGTGTACGGAATTAAATACAAACATATGTTTATGTCTGCGAAAATTGTTTTTGAAATATACCTGAATCATATAGTCTCTTTTCAAAATGATATGCAGCATGGATTTTTGTCGAGTTACTCTGCTTTTGAAGTGAGGACTTCTATGTTATTGTGCATTTTATTGCCTGGAATCCGAAGCTCTTAAATTTAATGCCCATAAAAGTTTGTTATCTATGCCCCCCACTTCCCCACCACATTAGAACCTATTGTGCTTGAAGGTTTTACATGATATATGTTCTTTTGATTTTTATTTTGATTATTATGAAGTTAGAATGGGTGAAGTTTGCACTGTATGCTAGTTCTGTGATTGTAGAGGTGTTGTAATATCCGACACGGACACTGACATGCATTTACTCAGAAGTGTCTGTGCTACAAAGACCGTTTTTTCTTCTTGCATTTCGTATGTAGAGTAACTATGCTGCTGCACTATGTTTTCTTTGTAGAGTATGTTTGTTCTATTAGAGATAAACTTCAATATTCCATGCTTAGTGATGAAGTTTTAATTTGGTTTTTTAGCTCCGACGGATGGACACCTTACTTTATCTATTGGTTTATCCTCAACGACCTTTGCTGACAACAAAATCAATTGAGCTGGTTAGTAATGCTTCTTCCATTGTTTTATTTCTCAATGTGTCAAGGGCTCTTATTAATCTTTAGTCTTTTAGGTTGGATATGATAAGCTTGGAGCAGGCCAGAATGCCACTGTAGCTGTAATAAGCTATAGTGGTTATGATATTGAGGATGCAATTGTCATGAACAAGTCATCTCTTGACCGAGGCTTTGGTCGTTGTATAGTTATGAAAAGGTATATACTATTTTATTTGGTGATTTCACTTCTCTGGTTGCGACATATTTCATTGATATGTTTTTAAAGTAGCAATGTCAAGCTTGATAGTCTTGAATGTTTAGGTATGTTGCCGTTAGACAAAAGTATCAGAATGGCACGCAAGATCGAATATTAAGGCCCAATAGAGCTGCAGACCCAGGGGGAAATATGCAGGTGATATGCCTTAAGTTTGCGTAGTAATTAATTTTTAATTGATGTTACATAAGATGTATTGAATCAAAATAGAATATTTCAATACTTTTAAAAGGAATGTGTATATATGTACAAGAAATGTATATAGAACTAATGTATTCTTACTACAATTAAATTAGTAATTCGTTTTTCCTAACTCTTGAGATATCATCAGTGCTCTCGAAACCTGTAAGCTGCCGCCTCTGACTATGCAACAAAAAACCCTAGATAACACCTTTCATTACTGTCTCAATCATTCCCGCGATGACAACTTCATGTTGTGTTTACATTCTAATATTTACATTACTCCCCCTCAAGCTGGTGAATGGATATCAATCATTTCAAATTAGCTAGTAAGTTGGTTGAATCGCTCTGTTGGTAAACCCTTTATTAACATACCTGTCAGCTGAGGCCCATTGGTACATAGGCGGTACTTATCAATCTCAATGTGTTTTGTGGGAGAGATGCTTATAATATGTGAACTTGCACATTGCTCTGAAGCCCTGCTTCAGCGCTTATTCGAGCAAGTACACTTCGCATCTTACTCCTCCAAGCCACAAGGCTTACATACAAGAGTGCACTATAGTCTGAAGTAGATCTTCTATTAGCTTTCCCACCAATTTCTGATACCGACCCTTGTCCACTTTGACACTTTCCTCTTTGCACTTTAACTTAACTGAAAGCTGTTTTCAAGCTAGCCTTCTAACTCAGACATTTTTTTATGGTAGGAAATCATACTTTTCTATGTTAGGAAGTTCTCACTTTTCATAAGTTGGGACGTAATTCTAACAGGGAAACAAACCTTTATGATTTTCGAGATTCCTTAGTCTAGAATCCTTATTTCCTTTTTTATTTACCAGTTTCCAGATTTCCTTGTAAAGTTCTTTTTTATTAGTTTCCCCATTTCCTTGTATATTCGCATATTCTGACTTTATTGCTGAGATTAAATACATCGTCTAATCCCTAAATCAGTTATTGGGTAAGTAAATACTTCTCCCCCCTGTTTTCTTGCTTGCTCTAGATACTTGATGATGATGGAATTGCTGCTCCTGGAGAAATTATTAAGCCAAATGACGTTATGGTAAACAAGCAATCACCAATTGATACGCAGACTCATGGATCTATAGCTAACTTGCCCGATAGGTTTGTTTTATTAACATTAAAATTTTACTGCAGTTAAGCTTGTGTTAAATAGATTTTTCTTCATGTTTTTCCTATATGGTTTCCTTATATGCAGTGCATACCGCTCCAGTAATTCAACTTTCAGTAAATGTCATGGAGGTGAAGTAGTTGATAGAGTAGTTCTTTGCAATGATAAAGATAGCAACATGTGTATCAAACTTCTAGTCCGTCACACACGAAGGCCTGAGGTAAAGTTTTGTTTGGTTTATTGTGAGGTTCTGTTCTTGATTTGAGGCACCGCTGATTGATTTCTCTGGCTGTATTTGTTTCCTTAGCTTGGTGATAAATTCAGTAGCAGACATGGGCAGAAAGGTGTTTGTGGAACAATTGTCCAGCAGGAAGACTTCCCATTTTCTGAGAAAGGCATTTGTCCAGATCTAATTATGAATCCTCATGGGTTTCCAAGGTAATTCATATCAATCTCACTAGTTTTACGTTGAAACATTTTAGAAACCCTCCATTTTCTGCAAATAATTGAAATAATTTGTTTTTGATTACACCAATGCTCCTCTATTTTCTCAATGATATCATTCTAATTTTTAAATAATATACGCTACTCCTAATTTTTAGCCTTTAAGCATACTTAATAGTTTTCCTCTAAACAAAAGGATACTTCATAGGCCATTGGCTTTTTACTATAACCCATAGCCCGATAGTTGTGCAATGACACTAAAACGGGGCAGGATTCTGAACTTCAATGTAATCTTATATTCAAGTAAGATTAATGTTCTTCAGATGGGGAAGAAAACAAACAGTAAAGTTAGCGTTTTTTATTTCTTTAATGAAAGTTTGACAAACCAAAATGAGGGGGTGTTAATCTCAGAGCTATGTATAACTTGTGTGAGTTCATCGGATAGGAGTTCACTGAGGCCAACTTTGAGGCACTGTCTTTTTTATTTGTTTACTAATATACTTATTGAACATATCTAAAAGTGGGTGCCACTGCATTTTTTAAAGATGATATAGTTGTTGATAATGAGGAATTAAATCGGAAGGAGTGTGTGCTATGCGGTAGAGTATCAATGCTCAAGTGGTCTTTTGTAGAATGGATGTGATTTCTCTCTTATGCTTAACTTTAAAAAAACAATTTTTAAAATAATAAATGTAAGTACAATGTTACACATGTTCTGAATGTGAACTAATATTTTTTATGGCATCAGTCGAATGACAGTTGGAAAGATGATAGAGCTTCTTGGAGGGAAAGCAGGGGTTTCATGTGGTAAATTTCATTATGGAAGTGCTTTTGGGGAAGCAAGTGGTCATGCTGACAAGGTTGAAACCATAAGGTATCGTGTTTCTCTCTGGTAAGTTTTTTTTTTTGGTTTGTTTATTTAGTGTTCTCATCATTTTCTTGCTTTGGCAGTGAAACTCTTGTGAGACACGGCTTCAACTACAGTGGCAAAGACTTCATTTATTCAGGTTTTCATTTCACTTAAGAATTCTCGGTTGCAGTTGCAAATGAAACTATTTTTTCAATGAAGAGTAATATGTTATCAGTGATAGATATTTTGTTTAGAGCGGTTGTGGTAGTACCTAATATTGCAGAAGCTTTACGTTAGGATTCATAGGAGTGTCAATAGGTATACCATTGATCAAGGTTGTCTCCTCTTGAATTTCCATTGTACGCTTACTTTAGGAAATTACTTCTAGACATTTTGGTTTAAAATGTTGATAATAATTTCGTTTTAATTTAATTGATCAGGCCCATGGTGTTCACTGTTTGTTACAATGTTGTCAATGTACACAACTAAGTATAAGTAAACCGAGTAGTCATACTCACTCCTTACCTTAGCGGACTATTGAATCGAAGTGCTAAATTTACCCTACTAAGCCGTAGAGAATTGCTTGAGCCATATAGAGATTTTCAAAGATGAAAAACTCGTCTTGAAACGAGATGCTCTGCGCAACAAATCTAGGTGGTTGCTCCATATCAAATCTTGCTTGAGATTACCATGGGTTGAATGCATTTTGTGGAAAAGGTGTCACCAAAATACAATTCAAAAACCTGGGATAACCTTTAGCAACTAGATGAGGCTTGGGCCGGTCATCAAGATTCACTCTAACTTGGAAGATATGCCAACATCCTATTGCTGTCTTCCTTGGAGGAAAGAAAACATGTTTCTAATGTTCCACACCATTAAGTGCACAACTTTGATCAACCATAGTCTGGAGTCATTCTAGAAGTGAAAAAGGCTTAACCTATAGTCCCACAAATGTAGCTGTAATGTAACATGGATTTACAAAAGTGGTTAAGTGTGTTGTGCACATACGAGTGAAGAGAATAAAAAGAGAAAAAAGTCTCTTCTACCCTATTTCACTCTTCTCATTATCTCTGATAACAAACATAGGTTAAAGGTTACACATTTTAGGACTGGTCCAAGTCATGCATACTTGTCTTTGAATTTCCTATTTTACGGTCTACAAAAAAGACTAAATTTTTATGATATTGGTAGTACAGTACCAATCTATTCTTTTTATGCTTTTCTCAACTAATCTCATCCAGGCGGTCTTAGTATCTCTCTTGTTCTGAGATGAAATATGTTTATGTGTGAACTACTAATGAGCAGTAACATTGTTTCTCTGAGATGGGGGTGACGATATAAATAAGGGAACAAACTCAAAGAAGGTAACATCTACCTAGACTGAAGTTTAATAGAGTAGGAGTAACACCATAACTTTTTGGTTTTGTGTGAGCGAAAAAGAATTGTAAAGCTAACGTGGGCATTAATTGGTAATCTTTATTATACTAGAATTGTAATACTAATTGTTAAAAGTCCCATATCGGATAATATATGGCCTGAACATGTCTTTATAAGTGGAGACAATCCTCATCCTACAAGCCGGTTTTGTAAGGTTGAGTTAGGCCTAATCACATTTCTTAACATGGTATCAAGAGCCTTGTTTCTAGTGGGTCACCTGCTATCAGATTTCCGCTATCGAGCCACCCACTATTTATTTTCACACTCCAGATGTCCAGTCTTGAGCGTGAGGGGGTGTGTTAAGAGTCCCACATCGGACAATATAGGACCTGAGCATGTCTTTATAAGTGGAACAGTCCTCACCCTACAAGCTGGTTTTGTATGGTTGAGTTAGATCCAACCACATTTCTTAATACTAATCAAATAAGCAAGCAAATCAGAGGTTTTTTTGGGTGCTTTGCTGATGATTTTAACCTAATCCATGAGTTTTGAGAGGTTTGTGAAGCACAATTGCATTGATTAAATTTTATAGGCTTTGTCATGGGGCTAATTCTGAATATTATTGAATTGTCCTTCTCTTGTTTTCCATTGACAATTAAATTTTTAAGTGATACTTCAGCAGTATGGTATTCCTCTTTGTATTTATCAATCTAAGAGGTGTTTTGGTTCATCTATTTTTTTAGGTATTACGGGTTGCCCATTACAAGCATATATTTTTATGGGGCCAATATACTATCAGAAGTTAAAACATATGGTGAGTTTGAAATCATTTTATTAAGAATGAAGTTGGTCTTATGTTTCTTTATGTTTCACAGTAAATGTATGATCAATTTAAAAATACTTGGTCCTTTTGCACTTAAAATCCATTAATGTGGTGAATTATTGCTGTTAGTATAGTGATCTAGATGAAAGTGAAAATATTTATTTTATTAATTATTAATACGATGGCATTCTAATATTCCTTAGGGAACATTATTATTGGTAACTACCTTATATTCATACCAATAAACTCACCAACCAAAATTCTGTTGATTATCAGGTGCTCGATAAGATGCATGCTCGTGGTAGTGGCCCTCGTACCCTACTAACTAGACAGCCTACAGAAGGAAGAGCTAGAAATGGAGGTGTTCAATTTATGCTTTTGATGTGTTTTTGAATTTATTGCATGTTGGTATAAAATAGTTTCTGCTATTTTGTTAATTTCTATATTTAAAAGCTATTTGTGGTAAAAAAAATTATACTTCTATTTTACTTGTAGCTGTTGAGTTTTTATTTTTATTTTTATGGTAACTAGCCATTAGTAGGTGAGTTGTTCGAAGTATTATTTGAGCCGATAATGATTGGTTAATTATTGAGTTTAACATCACTTTTTCCCTATATTTTAAGGTCTACGAGTAGGAGAAATGGAACGTGATTGCTTAATTGCGTATGGTGCTAGTATGTTGATTTTTGAGCGACTCATGTTATCGAGTGATCCTTATGAAGTTCAGGTGTGTAGAAAGTGTGGGTTGTTAGGGTATTACAACCATAAGTTGAAAACAGGTGTTTGTTCATCTTGTAAGAATGGAGACCAGATTTCTACAATGAAGCTACCATATGCATGCAAACTCTTGATTCAGGTAATGTGTTGGATCCTAGATATATACTTATTACTATAGCTGATGTATGTATGTTAATCAATTTAGTCTGTATTTCAAAATTTCAGGAACTCCAATCAATGAATATTGTTCCACGCTTAAAACTAGCGAACGCCTAAATTAACAGAATGCATGCACCTCTAACATCAATACAATCTTTGATGTTAGACGCCCTCCAAGCAATTTTTTTTACCATTTATGAAATTTTGTACGGTTATTAGTTGATGCTGCACATTGTAAAAAGATAAGTTATTTTGACTTATATATTCATTTATATGTTTAATTTGAATTTCACGATTGGTGAAAGTAATACAATTAAGTGTTTACGGCAAATAGGTGACCAAACAGAGTAATAAGTATAGTACATTTTTTTAAATTTCATTTTATCCATTTAGATTGAAATCTGAGAGCTGCTTTTATCCGTCAATCACTTTTAGAAAAACTGAATCCGTCACACATTCACCATTTTAGATGGATAAAAAATATGTATTTATTTTAATGCATTGTGTTGTTTTCGAATTTTGAAAAATTTGTCATCGAAGAAATTATCAGGTTGAGTCGCGGACTAGGTCGCTCTCTTTAAGATGTTTTGCGGTACTGTTCAAAATTATGCAAATTGGTCGAACTATCGCGCCGCCTCCAGGATAAAACAGTCCAGTTCTATACTGTACGATTATTATTTGCATGGTAGATAATTGGTTTAGAAATATACCCTCTGATGGTACAAGACCATTCAAATATGGTATCAATACCACTCGTAGTATCTAGTACAAAGACCAGTCATAATAATTTCTCAAACAAAAAAAAGTTTAAATAATTCTCTAAATAGAAATTAATAATGGTCATTTGATTACTCATAATAATTTCTCCATCAAAGAGAAATTCAAATAATTCTCTAAAGAAGACGGTGCTTTGACAATTTGAGAGACGCTGAATTATGAAAGTGAAGAAGTAAAAACTAATAGAATAGTTTTCGGTGTGATTTAGAATGAAACATGTGCAGTCTTTATATAGTGAAGTAAGTTGGTTAATATTTCTCACATGAGCAATGTGAGACTAAATGATTTTTTCTGGAAATTTTTAAATTCAACATATTGGAACATGGACATTTTCCAACAATCCCCTGCTTGAATTTAAAAAATTGATTTTAGAAGTAACGTCAAACGTTTCTAAGATTGTTCATAAACAAAGGTGTCTACGACTTGAACCTTTGCATAGCAAGTAAGATTCTAATTCAACAACAGTGACACAAATGTCTTGAACTCTATCTCAGACATCAAACCCGCACACAACCTTTTCTTAAGGCGTATTCTAATAGACCGTGCTTTAATGACCCTGCACGTGTATCCCAGTTTAATGAATGCTTTAGGAATTCTGCCTCGAAATTCCATAGGAACCGGCCTAAGTTCCACAATCACATATGTGAGTCTATCAAGAGTACTCTTGTAGTCTAGGTATTCCCTCATACAGAGTATAGATCTCATTAAGAGTTTCTATTATCTCATCCTTTTATTACATAAGAATTCATGTTTTACTTGCATGATCATCTCATATTACTCACAACTTGTTATTACCCATTGAACCTATTTCTTGAAATCTCCAGTCATTTAGGTCGGATTACCATCATGAGCAACTCATTTTCCTATAGGCATTAGTCCCATTTTATATGATGTATTATCGACTTTCTCTTTAGCTAATCCTTTCGTCAAAAGATCTGCTAAATTTTCATCAGTGCGTACATGATCCACTCTTACAACTCCTTTAGAGATACAATCTCTAACAATGTTGTGCTTTCTTCTAATTTGATATCTTTTACCATTATAATAATGGTTCTCGATTTTTGCAATAGCCACGGTACTATCGCAGTGGATCAACACAACTGACATATGTTTTTCCCATAAGGGAATCTCAGTTAGCAAGCATCTTAACCAACTTGCTTCTTCACTAGCAGTCGCTAATGCTATATTCTCAGGATAGTATGTTTCTTTGATTTCCAAGATACAACTCCTCTAGCTATGTTGAATACATAGCCACTAGTTTCTTTGGAATCATCTGATAAGGTATTCCAATCTGCATCGTTGTATCCTTCAGGTACAATAGGAAATCTCAGATAATGTAAACCGATATTCATGGTCCTTTTAAGATACCGTATGACTCGCTCAATAGCTTACCAATGTTTACTCGGTCTACTAGCAAATCTGCACAACAATCCCACGACATACGCAATGTCAGGTTTAGTACAATCAATAGAATACCTAAGACTTCCAATGATGCTTGCATGTTCTGTTTGTCTAACATTTTCACCAGTGTTCTTAAACAGCTTCACGCTTGGATCATTTGGTGTGCTCACAGATTTACTCTCAAAGTAATTATATTTCTTTAAGATCTTTTTCACATATTGTGATTGATCCAAAGAAATTCCTTGCTCGGATTTTGTAATCTTGATACCAAGAATCACACTCACTTCTCCGAGGTCTTTCATATCAAAGTTGTTGCACAACAATGATTTCATATCATTAATGGCATGAATGTTTGATCCAAATATGAGTAGATTGTCTACATATAGACATACGATAATGCAAATACAATTCTCAAATTTGTAATAAACATATTTGTCACTTTCATTCACTTTGTACACATTCGATATCATTAAGTTATCAAACTTTACATGCCATTGCTTTTGAGCTTGTTTTAGCCCACACAAAGACTTATCTAACTTACAGACCTTGTTTTCTTATCCATAGATCACAAACCCTTTCGGTTGTTTCATATATTTTTCTTCTTCTAAGTCACCGTTTAAAAAAGTTGTTTTAGCATCCATTTGGTGTACTATTAAGTTATAAATAGTAGCTATTGAAATAAGTACCCTAATGGATGTAATTCTAGTGACAGGAGAAAAGGTGTCGAAGAAATCTATATTTTCTCTTTATCTAAAACCCTTGACAACAAGGCGAACCTTGTATTTATCAATAGTTCCATCAGATTTTAGTTTCTTTTTCAAAATCCATTTACAACCGATTGACTTGCAACAAGGAGGCAAGTCTACTAAGTGTCAGGTCTTGTTAGATTCTAGAGATTCTATCTCATCATTGATAGCTTCTTGCCATAAATAAACATCCAGAGATGACAAGGCTTCTTGAAGATTCATTGGATCTTCTTCTACATTATAAGCCGCATAATCAGACCTATAGTCTTTAGCAACTCTTACTAGTTTACTTCATCTAAGTTTTGTTTCTACATTGCCGTTGCTTTCTGTGCTTCTTATCACAGGAATGTGACTCGATTGTGTGCCCCCATTATTTTTCAATTTGAAAGGAAATGTATCTTCATAGAATTCAACATCATTTGATTCTATGATCACTTTTGCCTTTAGGTCATAAAACCTATATGCTTTACTGTTTGCTGCATACCCAATGAAAAAATATTCATATGCTTTACTAGCGAGTTTAACTCGTTTCGGATCCGGAATTCTGACATAAGTCAGACAACCCCAAGTTCTCAAATAAGACAAGTTTGGTTGTCTTTTCTTTAATATCTCATGAGGAGAGATCTTACATTTTGACTTGGGGACTCTATTCAGGACATAGAAAACAGTCAATAAAATTTCCCCCCACTAGTGAGGTGCATCACCAGAATTTATCATAATTGCAACAACAAGTTCAGTAAGAGTTCTATTCTTTCTTTTTGTTTACCATTCATTGCAAGATAGTATGGTGTAGTCGTTTCATGTACAATTCCATGTATAAAATTCATTAATAAACTAGAATCATATAGTTTATCTATCACTACAAATTCTTATTATATCATTTTCAAATTCTTTACAAAAATTTTAAACATATAAACTTCATTCTTCGTAATAGCGTACAAATCTACCCCAATAGACTGACTAAACCATGTCTTATTTAAAATAAAACCAAAAACAATATTCTTTATAATCTTAGGAAGATGAATAACGTTCCTTAAGATTAAAGTCTTTTTGAAGGTGAAATTTAGCTCCATGTCTACAATTCCAGTAACATTCGTGGTCTGGCCATCTCCCAACAACACTTTCTTATCTTTAGTATTCGTGTATGTTTAAACATAACACGATCATAACAAACACAACGAGAGACGCATGTGTCTATCCACCAACCAACATATCCATCAACCATGTTGATTTCAATGACCATAGCAATAAATAGCCCATTAGTCAGGTTGATCTGTGCATTAGGGACAACACCAAGTTCAAGCTAACTTCTACATTTCTTAGTCACATGACTTGATTTTCCATAGTTAAAACAAAGGGAAACCAACGTCATTTCTTTTAGGTGGTGGTTGTTTCCTAGTTAGAGCTATTAGGATCATAGAAGGATTCCCATTCTTAATTCGGTTCACAATATTGCGGTTCTGATTCTTTAATCATTTGCCAAATGGCTTCAGAACTACACCGGATTTCTTTTTGTTGTTTAAAACAACCAAGACATTTTTCTTTTTGATATTGTCTCTAAGATTCCCTTTTTTGTTTCTTTTTAAATATTCAAACTGTGGGGTAGTTTGTCAATAATAAAACCAATTTGAAATCGTTCATTTAAACACATACCTTTTGTGATGATCTTTTAAGCAATCTTTTGAAGTTCGTAACATTGAGCCTCCATCGACCTTACATATTTGCATTTGATACTTGAAGTAGCGGCTAACAACATACTTATTTGCTCCAGCTTCTACGTCATACTTCTTTTTGAGTCTTTCAATCTTGTTTTGCAGTATCACATCAACTGTAATTATCATACAGATCATCTGCGAGTCTATTTAAAATATGATTTTGTAGAGATTTTCATTATCTTTATATAAGGTGATTTCTTTACTATGTTGTAAATCATTCGATTTAATCTGTGCAACAGATTCAACTTCAACACTATTAAGTGTTCCTTCTAAATCTCCAGATTTACTACCGTTAGTTTGTTCGATTAATCCAGAAGGAGCAACAGAATGTCATCGATCAGAACGTTAGCAACTTTTTTTCAACGTTAAGAACTTCATCTTTTGTTGCCAACGTTTGAAGTGACTTCTCTCAAACATGAACGATTTCTCAAAGACAATATCCGCAAAAGAACCAATAATTTCTTCGGTAGCCATGGCA